TTCTCAGCTTCAGCGCCAAGATGTCATCTTCGCCATCTTCTGGATTCTGCTGAGCCTTCAGCCATGTGCCCAGGAGATCGAGGAGGAAACTTGCTCTCCAAAAAAATAGCATGCAAAAATGCAACAAAAGAACACATCATGATGTTGTCTCCTGTTGGGGCTTTTGTGGCATTGAAGCGGGGTTTCAAGAGCTTCATGGCCTCGACTTTGGATTTTCCCAAGATTCGCTGTCCGCCAGCGGGCATGCTGGTGTTCAGGTTGGGGACTTGACACTTGGGCCGCGATCAACATGGGGGTTGTTGTGCTTGTAAGATGGCATAGATATTAATATATCTATGCCGTGGAAGGTTTCCCATCAGAGACTTCCCCGGCCCATGGGCTTTAGAGCTCAGGATGTAGCGATGATCATTGGCGGGGCACCCTCAGCTACCCTGAACCCGAATCCCCTGCCCTGGTGTGTGTCGTATCCACGGTGCTCTTGGTTTTTCGGGCCTCAGGGATAGGTTTACAGGTTCGGGATAGAGGGCTTGGTCACTGGCCATGGCTTTAAGTTAAGGTTAAAGGCGGGTTTTGCAAGGATACCTTGTATGTCAACCTAGTCCTGATCCGAGCCTGTCATGGGCCTTTTCCTTAACCACAAATACCCAAGCCGGAGTCGTACAGATTCTCGATCATCAACACTGGAAACCCCGACGGCTGTGATCCCAAACCCCAAAACCCTAAAGTCCCCTTCCTCCCAAACCAGAGCCAACACAACTCCTCTTGCAGAAGACGGGCTCGCGACGGCCGTGTCAGGAAGCTCTGGAGAATTGGGTCGCACTCATGAGCGAGCCCTGGACCCCAGGTCGGCTCAGTTTGTGAGCATATGTGTCAGCATATGTGAGAGCATGTTTCAAATTGAGACGTTCACTTATATACAACTTGAATGAGCAATCATCGAACACAGCGGTGATACTAAGTCGCACAATAAGCGCAGTAAAAATGCAACTTTTGAAGCCTTAAAGCCTGGCTGCCAATTCCTACTTCTGAGGGTGGTGCAAAACAAACAAACCTAAGAGGCCACTTCGGGATCTGTGCGGGCGCCTCCGTATTTCCAGGTCTGCCATATTTCCGGCAGTTGGTGCCAGGATTGTGTGCCCCAGTTCTATGTGCAGAGTCCTATTGTCCCATCCTCAGGACATGGAGCCGGGAGGCCCCAGTCTTCAGGCAAGTGCACAACCCTGGAAAAGGATCCGTCCACGTTCCGATGTCTCTGACGCTGTCCAGATCCCATGTTCTCTCCACCGCACGTCCCCGGTGCCTCCGCGTTCGGCCTGCCTCTGCACGAGCCGCACGTTTGAATGCGACGGCTTCGCCACTAAGTATATCCCAACTGCCCCCGTCGCCTCTATCACCATGGGGACAAAGTGACCCCCCAGTTGTGACGCAGGGTACGCTCTCCCCCAGCCACACAGGTCGCAGCGTGGTGGCGATGGCGGTCCGGCACGCCGTTGCAAAGGGGGAGCATCCGGCACTCCCAGACGAAAGCGCAACTCAGCGCAGAAAGCCGTGGCCTTGTCAGCTTCAGACCGGCACCGCCTCGCCAAGGACGCTTGCGCCGGCTGCGCCCGTTCCGAGAGCGCATGACGGGGTGGGGGTGGTGGTGGGGGTTGGGGGGGGGGCCTGGTGGGGAGTGGACTGGGGGTACCTGCTCACGTATGGCTTCGGCAGATTATCCCCTGCGCAAGGGCGAAGGCCGGTCTTCCAATTCGGCCACAGGATCCAGCAGCTCGCCAGCCTTAGCCGCACGCGCAGCAGTGTAGCTGCAGCTGTTTTCGTTGAGAAGTAGCAAGATAATTTTGTGTGTCGTTTTGTCGGAAAAACAGAAACAACACTCCAAAAGAAAGGAGAAAGGCAAGACAGAAGGTATCTCTCAGAAGTGCTACTATAAGTCTGATGCCACATCACAAACAGCAACATGATCGGAAGAAGTCCCTCTGGAGGCCGCATGGAGGCGGACCACACCACGCGGGTGCCTGTCAAGGACCTCTCTTGTGTCGGCGAGGCAGTTTTGGTGGGCTTGGGGTCGGGTTCAAGTCTTAACAGAGGCTATTCCGCAGTTGTTCCATATTTGAGCTTGTGCTGGTGGGGTGATGCTCAGGACATCTCAGGACCATCACCCGTGAACACTTGCATCTCTAGCACTGCTTGCTTCAAGTATCAGCTTCTTTTTTTGAAAGCGACATGCGTAGGTTTCCTGCTCAGTATAAACAGTCGGCACTATTATGCCTTGCCGTAAAGTATTGTGTGTGGGTGGGGACATCGATGGTCCTACACTCGCTCTTGGCGGCCATCACCTTTGCCCACATGACGACGATGGCTGCGATGATGATGATGATGATGATGATGATGATGATGATGATGATGATGATGATGATGATGATTATGGCGATGGTGCAGTCGAGCAAAAAGAAGTTGGGGCCTGCGAGGGGGCTTGGGACATCTGTGAGGCTTGTGTCCGCCAGCAGGAGACCTCCAGACTTGCATGCCGACTACGCAGAAAGAACCGCTGGTCTTCGCTTAGTTAAAGACCAATGAATGTCCAAACGCTCCACCTAGGGCCAGCGTCCAGAGTCTAGAGTCTAGAGCCGAAAGCAATGCTGGCGAGCAGGTCGCTGCCCTTCAACATCTTGACGGCCTTACCTGGGCAGACGTGCTCCTGGGCTGCCTGAGTTTGCCTGCAACACAAAAGGCCACGGTCGCGGTCGCATTCCAAGCCTGTGTTTCTGCAGAGCCGAACCCGGAACACAGCTGCTCAAGGCAGAGGCTCCGGCAACGAATGTTTTGTCATCCGAAAGACCGGCGGGGGCCTGACTTCAAGGCCGAATACGAGCTCGAGCTACTGCTCGCTTCAAGCGAGGCGCCTTTTTCCCCCAATCCTAAGCCTTCTCACTTCAGGCCGACCCGCCCACAAGCCTTTGCTTAAACCTAGAGAAGTCTCGAGGCTTTCATTCCGTGCGATGCGAACTCCAATGGATTGCCCACGGGCTTTTAACTCCATTATGAAAACCACTCCTGAAGTAACCCCGACTGCGGCTGGTTGTTGCGCCTTTTTTCTTCCTAGAAGGGCAGAGGAAGTGATAATCGCTAGATATATCGTAGAAGCATCATGTCAGGGGGTTTCGGCCGGAAAAGTCCAGATGCCACAGTCGCAAAGGCCGCATTGTACCCTGTTCTACCCACTACTAAGTAGTTGGCCCACGGCTCGTATTCCGCCGTGGGTCGGTTCCTGGACTGCAGTCCTGCCTCCCAGTACCATATGCCGGACTCCCCAGGAAGAAGATGCTAAACTCCCGGTCGGCGCGGGTCTCCGATGACCCGCGCATGATGGCAGTTGTGGCTGAGATCCAGAAGAAGGCCGTTTCTTCGTGCTCCTAGAGACAATTTAGCATGCGGATCCAAGCAAATCCCCTAGGTCGAAGCTTGAGGTCTGGGTGCAGCTTGGGTTGAGGGAGGAATGCTTTGCCCATGCGCGGCTCGGTGGGTTCTGTCTGCTGCATGGCAGTGATTTTGGGCTTCCGGGGGCTTCAATCGACCAAAAGTCCAGATCTTTGCAGTCCATGTGGTTTGTCTAAGGTGTGTTGGCTTACAAAATGTGTTAAGCGGGTCAAGCCTACATCATCCAACCGAATCTCACACTCCAACACATTCGCTTTGCTGAATTTGCAGCATGCCGAGCTGACGTGTGAGATTTGAGGTGTTCTACCCTGCCTCTTATCCGGTGTGAACCAGCTCTGCTGTTCAAGCATGCTGGCTGTGTAACTTGCAAAAAGAGCCGTGTCTGAATCGAGGATGAGCATTCAGGGAGCACCAGCGAGATTTCACAGACTTTCTGCGCAGGAGTCGGACGACTGCGTGCTGGGAATCATTTCCACCTCAGCCTACATGACCCAAGACTTGGGAATTCAGATTTCGGAACAGCAGAAGTTTGTCGAGGGTCAAGATTTGACTCGTTTTGGCAGTTTCAAGGTGATTCCTCAGGACAGTCCTCAGGACATTCTCATTCGTAAGCGGCAGACCACACCCTGGCGCCCGAACTCCATGAACATCTGAATGAACCCCCCCAACTCTGTGTAGTGAAAGTGTAGCTCAGTGTAGCTCAGTGCAATGCGTAGCGTCTAAGATCATACAGAGGGTTTTCCAGGGCGCCAAGTTGCATTGTAGCCGGCTTTTGGGGCCTCGAGACCTGACAACCTCCCGAAGCCCACTTAAGATAGTCAATGAAAGCTACTTTGTATATTAGTTTTCATAGGACTCCCGCCTACTACCCGAAGCATCGGAACTTGGCCCGCATCCTTGGCACGGACGTGAACTTGCTCTCAGTGACCCTCGGCCGAGTCGAGGGTGTCGGATGTGTGGTGTTTCGAGGGTCCTGGGACGATGTCTATAGGACTCTGTACGTAGGACCTTTAGGGTCTATTTGGCACGCCTCGTTTGCCGCCGGGAAATCCCTAGATTTGATTTTTCAAGGATTTCATGAAATTTAAAATGCCCAAAAAACCCTTGAAATCCTTAAAAAATCAAATCCCGGGATTTAATATTTTAAGGATTTCAAGGATTTTTTGGGCATTTTAAATTTCATGAAATCCTTGAAAAATCAAATCCCGGGATTTAGTTTTTCAAGGATTTCAAGGATTTCATAAAATTTAAATACCGGAAAACCTCCCCTCCCCACCCAGAGTACGGGAAGACCACGCGGATTTTAAAATTTATGAAACCCTTGAAATCCTTGAAAAATTAAATCCCCGGATTTAATTTTTCAAGGATTTCATAAAATTTCAAATGCCCAAAAACCCTTGAAATCCTTAAAAAATCAAATCCTGGGATTTAATATTTTAAGGATTTCAAGGATTTTTTGTGCATTTTAAATTTTATGAAATCCTTGAAAAATCAAATCCCGGGATTTAATTTTTCAAGGATTTCAAGGATTTCATAAATTTTAAAATCCGCGTGGTCTTCCCGTACTCTGAGTGGGGAGGGGGGGGTTTGCTTTTGCAGGAGTTCCGGTATTTAAATTTTATGAAATCCTTGAAATCCTTGAAAAATTAAATCCCGGGATTTGATTTTTCAAGGATTTCATAAAATTTAAAATGCCCAAAAAATCCTTGAAATCCTTAAAAAATCAAATCCCGGGATTTGATATTTTAAGGATTTCAAGGTTTTTTGGGCATTTTAAATTTTATGAAATCCTTGAAAAATCAAATCCCGGGATTTGATTTTTCAAGGATTTCAAGGATTTCATAAATTTTAAAATCCGCGTGGTCTTCCCGCACTCTGAGTGGGGAGGGGGGGGGGGGTTTGCTTTTGTAGGAGTTCCGGTATTTAAATTTTATGAAATCCGTGAAATCCTTGAAAAATCAAATCCCGGGATTTAGTTTTTCAAGGATTTCATGAAATTTAAAATGCCCAAAAAATCCTTGAAATCCTTAAAAAATCAAATCCCGGGATTTAATCTTTTAAGGATTTCAAGGTTTTTTTGGGCATTTTAAATTTTATGAAATCCTAAAATCAAATCTCGGGATTTGATTTTTCAAGGATTTCAAGGATTTCATAAATTTTAAAATCCGCGCGGTCTTCCCGTACTCTGAGTGGGGAGGGGGGCGTTTGCTTTTGCAAGAGCTCCGGTATTTGAAGTTTATGAAATCCTTGAAATCCTTGAAAAACTAAATCCCGGGATTTAATTTTTCAAGGATCTCATGAAATTTAAAATGCCCAAAAAATCATTGAAATCCTTAAAGAACTAAATCCCGGGGATCGGTTTAGGGTTTAGGGTTTAGGGTTTAGGGTTTAGGGTTTAGGGTTTAGGGTTTACGGTTTAGGGTTTAGGGTTTAGGGTTTAGCGTTTAGGGTTTAGGGTAATATCCTTGAAACCCTTAACAAAAATCAAATACCGGATTTGATTGTGTAAGGAGTTCATAAAAAGTTAAGACGCCGAAAAGAATTTAAACCCTTTAAAATCAAACCCCGGGAATTGTCTTTTCCAGGATTTCAGACATACCCGCTCATTGCCCATCCCACATCACCCCGCATCATCTCCCATCATCTCCCATCGTTTCTCTCATCCCCCATCATGCCCCATCATCCCCCAATCATCCCCCATCATCTCCCATCATTTCGGGGGGGGTGAAAGGGATGATGGGGGATGATGGGGGATGATGGGGGATGAGACAGTCAGCCCCCTTATCATGTCCCATCGTCTCTCTCATCCCGCGTCATCCCGCGTCATCCCCCATCATCCCCCATCATCCCCCATCATCCCCCATCATCCCGCATCATCCGCCATCATCCCCATCATCTCCCATCATCCCCCATCATCCCCCATCATCATTCCCCATCATCTCTCATAATCCCTTTCACCCCCCCATCATCCACCATCATCCCCCATCAGCCCCCATCATCGTCCCCGATCAGCCCCTATCATGCCCCATCATGTCTCTCATCCCGCATCATCCCCCATCATTCCCCATCACCCCCCATCATCTCCCATCATCCCGCATCATCCCCCATCATCCCCCATCATCATTCCCCATCATCTCCCATAATCCCTTTCACCCCCCGTCTTGAGGGGTTAGTGACTGCCCTAGAGGTTAATCGTATGTCCCCCCGCTTCGTGTTGTTGTGATTTGGTAGGGGCCCAGAGGTTTGTATGAGTTGTTTTCTTCGTTCGTGTTGTAAGGGTTTTGTGAGGGCCCCGGAGGTTTGTCGCATGTCCCCTTTCTTCGTGCTTGTAGGGTTTGGGGAGTGTCTAGATAATTGTCAAAAATCATTCCTTCCGCGCTCGTACTATGAGGGGCTAGTGGCTGCCCTAGAGGTTTGTCGTACATTCCCCCGCTTCGTGTTCCTGAGATTTGGTAGGGGCCAGAGGCTTGTCATATGTCCCCTCCCTTCGTCCCTTCGTGTTGTGAGGGTTGCATTCGGCCTTGGAGGTTTGCCGTATGTCCCCTTTCTTGGCGTCTAGATGATTGTCATCATAAGTCATTTGCTTCCGTGGTCGTATCATGAGGGCTATTGACCGCCCTAGAGATTTGTCGTATGCCCCCCTGCTTCGTGTTCCTGTGAGTTGGGAGGGGCCTAAAGGTTTATCTTTTGTCCCCTCCCTTCGTCCCTTCGTATTGTAAGGGTTTCGTGAGCGCTCTGGAGGTTTTTCATATATCCCCTTTGTTCGTGCTTGTAGGGTTGAGGGAGTGTCTAGATGATTATCACATATCGTTTGCTTCCGCAGTCGCTATGAGGGTATTGATTGCCCTAAAGATTTCTCGTGTGTCCCCCGCTTCGTATTCCTGTGATTTGGTAGGGGTCTAGAGGTTTGTCGTAATTCCTCTCCCTTCGTTCCTTCGTGGGATGTTTGCGTGTGTCCCCTTTCATCGTGCTTGTAGGGTTTGGGGAGCCTAGACGACTGATATATACATATATATAATTCGATTCCGTGCTCGTATTGTGAGGGGCTAGTGATCGCCCTAGAGGTTTGTCGTATGTCCCCCCGATTCCTGTTCCTGAGATTTGGTGGGGGCCTAGAGCTTTGTCGTATGTCCCCTCCTTTCGCCCCTTCGTGTTGTAGGGGTTTTGTTGGGCCTTGAAGGCTTGTCGTGTGTCCCCTTTCTTCGTGCTTGGAGAGTTTGAGGAGCGTCGAGATGATTACCATACATCATTTGCTTCCGTGCTCGTACTATGTGCGGTTAATTAGTGACTGCCCTAGAGGTTTGTCGTATGTCCCCTTCCTTCGTCCCTTCGCGTTGTATGGGTGGTAAGGGTTTTGGGAGGGCTTTGGAGGCTAGTCGTATATCCACTTTCTTCGAGCTTGTAGGGTTTGGGGGGGAGCGTCGAGGGTCTAGATGATCGTCATATATGATTTGCTTCCGTGCTCAAATTATGAGGGGCTAGTGACTGTCATAGAGTTTTGTCATTTGTCCCCCCCGTTTCCTTGGTCCTGTGATTTGGTAGGGGCTTAGAGGTTTGTCATATATTCCCTCCCTTCGTCCTTTCGTGTTGCAAGGGTTTTGTGAGAGCCCTGCAAATTTGCCGTATGTCCCTTTTCTTCTTGCTTGTAGGGTTTGGGGAGCGTCTAGACGACTGACATATGTAATTTGATTCCGGGCTCGTATTGTGCGGGGCTAGTGACTGCCCTAGAGGTTTGTCGTATGCCCTCCGCTTCCTTGTTCCTGTGATGTAGTAGGGGCCTACAGGTTTGTCGTGTGTCCCCTTTCTTGGCATCTAGATGATTGTCATAAGTCATTTGCTTCTGTGGTCGTATTATGAGGGCTATTGACTGCCCTAGAGGTTTGTCGTACGCCCCCCTGCTTCGTGTTCCTGTGAGTTGGGAGGGGCCTAGAGGTTTTTTTTTGGTCCCCTCCCTTCGTCCCTTCGTGTTGTAAGGGTTTCGTGAGCGCTCTGGAGGTTTTTCGTATGTCCCCTTTGTTCGTACTTGCAGGGTTTGGGGAGTGTCTAGATGATTATCACATATCGTTTGCTTCCGCAGTCGCTATGAGGGTATTGATTGCCCTAAAGATTTCTCGTGTGTCCCCCGCTTCGTATTCCTGTGATTTGGTAGGGGTCTAGAGGTTTGTCGTAATTCCTCTCCCTTCGTTCCTTCGTGGGATGTTTGCGTGTGTCCCCTTTCTTCGCGCTTGTAGGGTTTGGGGAGCCTAGACGACTGATATATACATATATATATATATGGTACCCCCCCCCCCAGTGACCTACCCTTTTTCGCCTTGTCTCAAGTCACCCAGCTGCACTGCAAGCAAACTCGGTGTGCAATATAGCGTATTTCTAGGGCGCAGACTAAAATACAACAAAAATCGCATACACGAGACAGTAGAAAAACCAAAAATACCAAAACCCAAAAAAAAAACAAAAAAACAAAACCAAAGAAAAACCAAAACAACCAAAACCAAAAAAACCAAAAAAACCAAAACCAAAAAAAAACAAAAATCTCCAAGAGTCCCGGAAAATTGTTTTTTTTTGGTTTTTTGGTTTTGGTGTTTTGTTTTTTTTTTGGTTTTGGTATTTTTGGTTTTTTGGTTTTGGTATTTTGGCTTTTTGGTTCGCCTTCACGGTACGAGGCAACAACTACACATTTTTCAGTGTGCTTATGCTAATTGTGCTTTTCAGAAATAGTATACAAGTGGTCTTTCTAGTGCTTCAGAACTATTTGTTTCGTTATTACGTAAGTAGAGCCGCTAGTGTTTAGTGCATCTTTTGGTTGTACTCAAGTGTAGTAGACCTTATTCAGCCATTACTTGGTGCTCTGGTAGCTAAATTCGCATGGATAATATTTGCCTGGTAAATGCGATTAATTATCTAGAAGCAGCATTTGCAATACTCGGCTTGAGGAAAAGCATTTATTGCTTAGAATTGTTTGGTTAAAAAGTGACTCCTACTCGTCCAGGGATACCCCAAAACCCTATAATCCAAACTTCACCAGAGATTCTCCTGAAAAGCTTGCGCTTTTGGATGTTTTTATGTATTTGTGAACTGGCCTTCACTAAGTAGTTTTCTAGGATTCTTGTGCATTTGTTGCAAGTTGCGTTTTTCAAGCAGAGTATATATGTGGTCTTTATTGAATACTTCAGACATGTTTGTTTCATCGTTATGTAAGTAGAACCGCTTCTATTTCCATTATTGTGCATTTTTAAGCTTGCTTATGCAAATTGTGCTTTTCAGACATAGTATATAAGTGGTCTTTATTGAATACTTCAGCAATCTTTGTCTCATTGTTACGCAGGTAGAACCGCTTCCATTTCCGTTAGTGTTTATTTTGTATTGGGTTGAGTATGGTCCTTTAAATAGTATTCACTTGGGTCAAATTGGGCTATTTGCTTAAGAATTCCTCTAGTAGTTAAATTCGCAAGGTGTTTCATTTGACTTTGCAGATAGTATTTCAATAATACTTTGCCTGGTATAAACACAACTGTTTCAATGCATGAGTTGCTCAACAAAGCACTATTTGCCCTCTAAACCACACTTTGCCATATTTTTTTGTTGAATATGGTGCTTCTTTCGTATTTTGGTTGAGTATGGTCCTTTAAATGGTATTCACTTGAGTCAAATTGGGCTATTTGCTTAATAATTGCTCGAGTAGCTAAATTCGCATAAAATGATTATTTCAAAAATAAAAACGATTCATGAATATGTAAACATAAGGTATTTCAGTGGACTTTTCAGAGAGCATACTTTGCCTAGTACAAACACAATTGTATAAATACAGTACTTGCTCAACAAAGCATTATTTGCACTTTAAACGCACACTTTGCCATATTTTGGTTGAGAATGGTGTCTATTTCGTATCTTGGTTGAGTATGCTCCTTTAAATAGTATTCACTTGAGTCAACTTGGGCTCTGTGCTTAACAGTTTCTCTAGTAGTTAAATTCGCATAGAACCAAGAAAAATGTTTCACTATTTGATTAATACTTTGCCTCGTACAAACACACTCGTATAAATAAATTAGTTGCTCAACAAAACATTAATTGCCCTTTAAACGCACAATTTGCATAGAAAGCCACAAATCTAAACATCTAAAGACAGCATTGTCCGCTTCAGATTCAAAATGTAGATTCTTCCAATGCTGGCTTATCGGGGTCTGTGAGGTGGGTGTCCCAGTAACTGTCCTTCAATACCCGGTGATTAACTACGCGACTTTTGGGCCTTCTTTGTTATATTTTGTTAAAAAGGCCTAAAAAGGCCGAAAAAGGGTAGGTCGCTGGGGGGGGGGGTAGCATATATATATATATATAATTCGATTCCGTGCTCGCTAGTGATCGCCCTAGAGGTTTGTCGTATGTCCTCCCGATTCTTGTTCCTGAGATTTGGTAGGGGCCTAGAGCTTTGTCGTATGTCCCCTCCTTTCGCCCCTTCGTGTTGTAGGGGTTTTGTTGGGCCTTGAAGGCTTGTCGTGTGTCCCCTTTCTTCGAGCTTGGAGAATTGAGGAGTGTCGAGATGATTACCATACATCATTTGCTTCCGTGCTCGTACTATGTGGGGTTAGTGACTGCCCTAGAGGTTTGTCATATGTCCCCTTCCTTCGTCCCTTCGCGTTGTATGGGTGGTAAGGGTTTTGTGAGGGCCCTGGAGGCTAGTCGTATATCCACTTTCTTCGAGCTTGTAGGGTTTGGGGGGAGCGTCTAGAGTCTAGATGATCGTCATATATGATTTGCTTCCGTGCTCAAACTATGAGGGGCTAGTGGCTGTCCTAGAGGTTTGTCATTTGTCCCCCCCGTTTCCTTGGTCCTGTGATTTGGTAGGGGCTTAGAGGTTTGTCATACGTTCCCTCGCTTCGTCCTTTCGTGTTGCAAGGGTTTTGTGAGAGCCCTGCAAATTTGCCGTGTGTCCCCTTTCTTCTCACTTGTAGGGTTTGGGGAGCGTCTAGACGACTGACATATAATTTGATTCCGTGCTCGTATTGTGAGGGGCTAGTGATTGCCCTAGAGGTTTGTCGTATGTCCCCCCGATTCCTGTTCCTGAGATTTGGTAGGGGCTTAGAGCTTTGTCGTATGTCCCCTCCTTTCGCCCCTTCGTGTTGTAGGGGTTTTGTTGGGCCTTGAAGGTTTGTCGTGTGTCCCCTTTCTTCGTGCTTGGAGAGTTTGAGGAGCGTCGAGATGATTACCATACATCATTTGCTTCCGTGCTCGTACTATGTGGGGTTACTGACTGCCCTAGAGGTTTGTCGTATGTCCCCTTCCTTCGTCCCTTCGCGTTGTATGGGTGGTAAGGGTTTTGTGAGGGCCCTGGACGCTAGTCGTATATCCACTTTCTTCGAGCTTGTAGGGTTTGGGGGAGCGTCTAGAGTCTAGATGATCGTCATATATGATTTGCTTCCGTGCTCAAACTATGAGGGGCTAGTGGCTGTCCTAGAGGTTTGTCATTTGTCCCCCCTGTTTCCTTGGTCCTGTGATTTGGTAGGGGCTTAGAGGTTTGTCATACGTTCCCTTGCTTCGTCCTTTCGTGTTGCAAGGGTTTTGTGAAAGCCCTGCAAAATTGCCGTGTGTCCCCTTTCTTCTCACTTGTAGGGTTTGGGGAGCGTCTAGACGACTGACATATAATTTGATTCCGTGCTCGTATTGTGAGGGGCTAGTGACTGCCCTAGGGGCTTGTCGTATGCCCCCTCCCCCGCTTCCTTGTTCCTGTGATGTAGTAGGGGCCTACAGGTTTGTCGTATGTCCCCTGCCTTCGTCCCTTCGTGTTGTAAGGCTGATAAAATTTTTCTGAGGGCCCTTGGAGATTTGTCGTATGTCCCCACGCTTAGTGTTCCTGAGATTTGGTAGGGGCCAGAGATTTGTCGAATGTCCCCTCCTTTCGTCCCTTCGTGTTGAAATTGCTTTGTTGGGGGAAGGTTTGTCGTATGTCACCTTTCTTTCTTCTTAGAGGGTTTGGGGATCTTCTAGAAAACTGTCATATATCATTTGCTTCCGTGCTCGTATTATGAGGGGCTGGTGTTTGTCATAGAGGTTTGTCGTATGTCCCGCCGCTTTCTGTTCCTGCGATGTGGTAGGGGCCTAAAGAGGTTTGTCGTGTGCCCCCTCCCTTCGTCCCTTTGAGTTGCAAGGGTTTTGTTGGACCTGGAAGATTTATCGTATGTCTCCTTCCCTTCATTCCTTCCTATTGTAAGGGTTCTGTGAGGGCCCTGGAGGTTTGTCGTATGTCCCCTTTCTTCTTGCTTGTAGGGTTTGGGGAGCATCTAGATGATAGAGGTTTGTCGTATGTCGTCTCCCTTCGTCCCTTCGTGTTGTAAGGGTTTTGTGAGGGCCCTGAAGGTCTAGGGCAGTTACTAGCGCCTCATAGTACGAGCACGGAAGCAAATGATAATGACAATCATCTAGACGCTGCCCAAATCCTACAAGCACGAAGAAAGGGGACATACGGCAAATTTGCAGGGCCCTCACAAAACCCTTACAACAAGAAGGGACGAAGGAAGGGCACATACGACAAACCTCTAGGACCCTCACGAAACCCTTACAACACGAAGGGACGAAGGGATTGTATCTAATTTCGTATATGGTAAAATGACATACGACAAATCTCCAGGACCCTAGCAGATCACATGAACACGAAGCAGGGAGACATAAAACAAACCTCTAGGGCAGTCACTAGCCCCTCATAATACGAGCACGGAAGCAAATCATATATGATAATCATCTAGACGCTCCCCACGCCCTACAAGCACGAAGAAAGGGGACATACGACAAACCTCCAGGACCCTCCCAAAACCCTTACAACACGAAGGGACGAAGGGAGGGGACACACGACAAACCTTTAGCCCCCTACCAAATCACAGAAACACGAAGCGGGGGGACATACGACAAACCTCTAGGGCAGGCACTAGCCCTCATAATACGAGCACGGAAACACATCATATATGTTAATCATTTTGATGCTCCCCCAAAACCTATAAGAACGAGAAAGGGGAAGCACACAAACCTCCAAAGCCCTTACAAAACCCTTACAAAACGAAGGGACGAAGGGAGGGGACATACGACAAACCTCTGGCCCCTACCAAGTCACAGGAAACGCGAAGCGAGGGTGCTCGCCTAAGTCTGGCTGTTGGCCGGCTGGATCTACATTTACTACTACTACTACTACTACTACTACTACTACTACTACTACTACTACCACTACTACTTTCAAGAAGTTTTGTAAATAGTAAACAAAGGGGCGTGCCAAATAGACCCTAAAGGTCCATGCCACATAGGACTCTAGGATCGATGTTAACCGATGGAGCTTGGGGGCCTTTTTCAACACAAAGGGTGGTGGTTCACAGGGGCTTTCGGGTTCTGGCTCTCCATGGCTCTCCGCTCTGGAAGGGTTGGCAGCTCTGGAAGGGTTGGCATCTCTAAGGGCGAAGGAATTCTGCTTGCGGAGCCCGTTTTTCCAAAGCTTTCCATTCCAAGCCTTGAATGCACTCAAATGCCCATAGAAATCTTCCGAGGAACGTTTCGTTCTATGAGGCGCTGCGCGCTGGGTTCCCGATCTTCAGCCTCTTTGATGACATGTCGACGCCGGAGACACTCTAGTGCCCGTCTCTGTCTGTGTCTCTGTCTCCGTCTCCGTCTCTGTCGCTATCTCTCTCTCTCTCTCTCTATCTCTCTCTCTGTCTCTCTCTCTCTCTCTGTGTCTCTTTGTCTCTTTGTCTCTGACTCTCTCTCTCTCTCTCTCTCATTCCTTCAAGCGCTGACGTAGGGTGATGGCCCGCGCATCCTGACGGAGTATCTCAGCTTTACTTGCAGCCGCAGCGTAGAAGTCCTATTCATTCCACGCATCCGCTTTGACCATGCGCCTTTGTTCCCTATGTTGTGGTGTAGCTTTTTTGAGACGGCCCATGATTCATTGTATCCCCACTTGCCCCTACATTATATGCCATCAGCCACCCCAAAGCCTAAAATCATAACCCAAGCCCTCAAAAACACTAAACTCCACACAAGTGCAAGGCTTAGCTTCTTAAAACACATTGTCCGCAAATGACATCATCCTCATGTTGTCCAACTCAATGCAAGTATCAGGAGTAGGAGGCCATTTAAATTTAAATTGGGCTTAGCACACTTGTTTAGCACCGGGCTTCGGGCCCGCAGGCATTCGGGCTTCCGCCAGGAGTTCCGGGCCTGGTTCCACACCCCGGAGTGTGTGCAGATACTGGCCCCTGGGACAGGGGCAGAGGTCGGCCGGTTTGGGATGTTGAAGGGTCGTCTTTTGTGAGTTGGCAGCGACTAATTATATCGGTTGCACAGATGCACAATGACTGCTTCATTGCGCCTGCTGAGTTTGAAGCCCATCGGGTCGATTTCATTGGAGGGGTGGGAATTGCAGTAGTTGGTTTTGCAGATTCTCGCTATGAAGCATGCGCCGCTGACACGATCCGCCAAAACTATACAGTCTGCAACAGAAACGCCACGTGCTCAATTATCTTGCAATCTGCTTGCGAAAGCAATAATTGCTTCACATGGTCGAAACCATGAATCAACCCAACGAGTCACGTATCAAAAGCCGTGCCGCAAGCTTGAAGCTCAGGGAGAAACTACCAGGTAAGCCATCCTAAACACACACACACACAAGTACTGCAACTTTTAAAACGAATCCCTATAAGCTTGATAAGCCCAAAACCCAGCAAAGCTGCATGCGAAGGATTCCTTCCGTGACCGCCCCGCTTGCTCCGCAGCAGCTGCGCAAAGCCTGCGGAAGCGGCTGGAGGAGCATGATGGACACGTGTGCAGCGGGCTCATGGGCTTTGTCAATGCTTTTTTTTCTTTTTAATACTCGTATCACTCATCCCACAAACCCGAGACATTTTTCCCAATGCAACCAGCAACCTCTGCACTTTAGTGTTGGGACATTCAGCGTATGTTGCACCTGCTTAGTAGCCAAAGACAGTTCAAAGACGCACCTGCGCCCTCACCCCGAAGAGCCTTACCATCTTCTTGAGCCCGAGAGGAGGAGCGGAACGCCGGCCTGATCTCCGGGCATGGACGCCGCCTCATGCACCCTGGCGCAGGGTCAAGCCGAGCCAATTGCAGACTATATTGCACGCACAATTCCTGCCTCAGCCCATGCCTCCCCAGTTTTGTCAGTGGCAATGGCGTGGTGCGTAGCATCATGCCTGCCGCTCTTCCATATCCATGATGACGCGTGGTTCTCCCCTGTCTCTAACCGAGTCTAATACCTAAAATTCATAAGTATTTATAAGTTTTTTGTTCCACGTGCTAGGCTCACTGCGATCGAAATCTTCGACACTGAGGCAGGAAGAACTAGCCCAATGAATATACAGCCTGCATGATCTGCAGTTTCAGCACCTCAAATGTGCTTGGGACTCCGGTGGTTGTCGTAGGTCCCCCCCTCCGTCCTTTCGCATCCCAAAGCCGCACTACTCTTCACCAACGTCCCAGATACGATCTCTTCCCGACAAGTAGCATCTGTCGATCCTCCTTGAAGCAACTTCAGCTTATCAAAAAAAAAAACGCACAAGTGTTCGGCTTACAGCCTTGTAGGCCTAAACCCATTTTGAAACTTACGGGCCGGCCTAGACCCATTTTGAAACTGACGGGCCTTTAACGACCTAGGAGCTTACAGAGTCTAGCCGATAAACTCCATACGAATCAGAGTCCCAAAAAAACAGAGCTCACATAGCTCGGATGGTTCCCCTGCAGGTTCATCTCTTTAGGAGGAGGGTGAGGTGTGTGTGTGTGGTGACTTCCAAAAAGAATCGTGGTCTTAAGGCCCTGCAGATGACATATGCCTTCTTCACTGATCTCACACGCGCCCGATGTCGTTGCGAGATATTCTTCCCCTCTTCTAGTTCGCTAGTTCGGATAGCGGACCTGTCTTGCCAACTTATGCCCTCACAACGAGTATCGCAAAACATCGCAAAAACCACGAGCCCAAGAGGCCTGCGAATGCCGCCCGGCCAACGCAGCGGCCTCCTTGGTGTTGGCCCTGTGTCGTGCTCAGGCCCTGAGCCCTGAGCCGGCGGGGTTACCAGGTTTCAGCATTTTGTTCTTTCGCTTCTGCGAGTTCGTGGCGCTAGAGAGGAGTCCCCTCTGCTGAGACTCTGCTGGCAGAAAGGTAAGTTTACAGGACTATAGAGCATTTGGTAAGACACCAAGCCAAATGCATACCGTGCCCTCTGTATGCGCGGCGCCTCGCGCGGCAGTCACCATACTTCTCGGGCAACCATTGTTTTTCGGCGCAGCGCCCCGCGCGGTTGTTTATTATTATCCCTTGGCTGCGCACGGAGCCATGCCCTTCAGGTGACGACTCGGCTTGACGCTTTCTCTTTGTTAGTGCCGGCTTGTTCTACAGTCCCCGCTTGCAATAGGGTACTGTCTTCAAAGGACTCTCAACATCTCGTCCCTGTGTCTCACTTCATGAGTGCCGGTTTCTCGGAGGATTACAGAGACAAGTCGTAAATGCTACCTGTGAAAGGTGCCGTGCATCGTCCTGACGACTAGAGACACCACAGCTGCCGACGTCTCAACCTAGAGCTTGGCCTAAACCACTTCAAGCAAAGCCCCCAATCCCGGAATCCCGAAGCCCTGAGCATCTTCGAAGCATCCTCGAGCCTCACAAGTCTTCGCGTCTTCGCGTTCACGATCCTTGGGGTCTTAGCTATCGAGCGCTGGAGCCGGAGGCCTTGCTTGAAGCACCGACACTCCGAAGTGAGCGTGCACCTTGGTGGCATGGGGGTCTGGCAAACCAGGATTCTCAGGGATGATCTCTTGAAAGTAAGCAATAATGTGTGTGTGTGTGTATTCATAACGTCTGTAAGCACTTAGTCAGGGAAGCTTTGGGGTAGTGTTGGGTTGAGCCTTCTGGTTGTAGGAAGCCTCGAAGGAAAGGGTCCAAACAGCTGAGTCGCTCTTTTCTGATCAGCTATTTTTTGGTAATGTTCGTTCATACTACTTGCGAGCTAACCACAGTTCGCGTAGCTTTCCGGCGCGTGGTATTTGGGGCATGTGCACAAGCAACGACAAGCAGAAAACATCGGCATGGGGTTTTCAACATTTGCTGAGAGTTCTGTCGTTTTTCAGGGGGATCTTTCAGACTACGTATATGGATTTGAAGTATCCTCAACTCCTCAAACAGAAGCCCTCAGCCCTAGACCTGGGCCTGTTGCGTGAGGTTTGGCAGCATGGACGTAATCATCGCACGGGCATGGATGCGGTGACAATTCGCACACAGCGGTAGCATGCACATGCATGCAGAACAACCGCCTTCTCTCACAAAGAAGTGGCGGGGAAGAAAAACACTTTTCTCCTCGCTGGGTGTGTGTGTGTGTGTGCCACCTTGAGACATACCAGTAAACGAAAGGGGAGACAGTCCAGCAGTCTCAGTCTCATTTCCTTCTCTGTCAGTCTCTGGGCCTCTCTCTGCTTAGGTGCAGACTTCACTCATGTGCCTCCTTGTCGGGCTGTTGCCTGACCGCTTAAGTAGTTTGTCCTGACCCCTGGGCAACTTAGGATCTGCTGAGCAGGAATTTTCTCCGCGTTTTCGGCCTTTTGGCTAAGGCACTCTTCGTCAGGGCCTCGGCCCTCAGCCAAGGATTTGGAGGTGTTTGGCCTCCGTTCCCCCTTCCTCTTTGTGCCGGGCTCGTTTCGGGCGTCCGTCATGTCAAAGTTCATCATCATCAGCATGCACGTAATCTTCACCGTTTCTGCTGTTTTCAGGGCTTAGGCTTGAAAAACGTTTGTCTGAGGATCTGTCCAAACGACTGCTGACAAAGCACGTTCAGACCACGAAGCAGAGTTTCTTGAGGAACTGGTGCGGGTTTGCATGAGCAATTAACGCTGACAATCACTGAATGCTCAATATCTTCTTTGTGAGGTAGAAGGCACCACAACAATACGTACATGTGTTTTCAACAAATGCGCGTTTGTTTTCAACAAATGCGCGTACGCTTGTGACAGCGCGGCTTGATCCAGAAACGCCAAACATTCTAATTAGTGCAGTGTGTGGTACAAAAAAGGCAAGACTGCAAATACCAGTGTTTTGGGCATGTCGCAAAAGGCAGGAACGCATGTGTGACAGTGCGTCTTGTAACTGCGTAGAGGCAAGAAAGCTTTACACGCCCTTTTTTTTGCCGCAATACGAGGCCCACAATGCTTCATTGACTGTCTAAAGAGGCCTTTCAAGTTCAATACCCAGCCAACTATGCGCAAGACCCTGGTTCTAGACGGGGGTCGTAATGATGAATACTGTATGCCTACGGAGATTTGCATGCATTTACTCAGCATGCAAACTGCTGCAGACTCGCACGCAGGAAGACTCTGCCGTCAATCGCGATGTGATCGAGCTGGTCACACGAGCGGAAGAGCTTATCAAAGACTACAGCATCTTGGTGGTGGCAGAGAGCTTGGAAGAGAGGTTTATCTTGTTTTTGTGGTTTGGAGCTCAAGATCTTTGATCTCCTGTTTCTTGGTTTGGGCCAGGAGCAGTCCTTGGATGCTGAGTTCTCCGCCCATGACTTTGTAGGGCTTCGGTAGCCAGAGCAAAAGCGCTAAACAGTTAGTTTCAGCACTCAGGGTTAGGTGAGGCGGTGTGACGGTGTGAGGGTATGATATTTCTAGGCACTTGGGGACCGCCACCTGGAAACCTGAAGGAGTCGAAGTACGGGCATCCCCTGCGGGGTGGCATCCCCTGAAAGAACTCTGAGTGGTTTTGCTTGAAAGGACGAAGGACAATGAACCTCCACAAGTTTGCATACCTGCGAAATCTAGGCAGCAAAGGCCCAAAACAGGCGCATGCTCAGCATGCTGTGTAGCATCGGCACATGCAACAACCATAACAACCCCTTGAACTCACCCGAGGTTGGGACGAGGGCTTTGTCTTCGGGCGGCTTGTGGGAAGCCCATGGAGCCATGCAGAGAAAGAGAAGGGGCATTTAAAGGGTTTATTGAAGGAGAGGAAGGGGCGTTTGAAGGCGTTTGGATGTCTGAAATGGTTTCTGTGTGATGACTCTTAAGGGGCTCTTCTTTGCTTCTTTAAAGAGTGCTTTTGGGGAGTACCGTGCTGAAACAAATCATAAACCGTAAGGGGGTCGATCCAACATGGGTCTACTGTCCCCCATAAGCCCCAAAAAGGCCCAATGGCCGCTTTTGGTCACTACTTGTTTCTTGGCAACCCTTGCCCTGGCCTAGATACGGGCATTGGGAGCCCCACTAGGACCTCTCTGTTGTAGCAGTTGCTTGCCTTCAGCTTAAAGCATTGGTTTTGGGAATGCGCTGCTTAACTGTTGCAAGCCCTATGCACGAAGCAATTGCCACCAGGTCCCTGCAGTCAAGCGCTCAACCTAAACCCCACTGAGCAACCAAAGACAACCAGTGCCTGCCCGAAGCACAACCACGCAAACAAAACGCCCCGGAGCACAGAAGAAACGAAGAAAAACGAGGAACTTCTGGTGGCTGCTGAAGCTCCTGCAGGAGGCTTGTTTGTGGTGGGAGGTGCTTCGTGCGCCCTGCGTTTCTGGGGGCACGCTTCGAGCGATTTTGCTTTGTTGTGAACTTGTTCCCCAATACCGCCGGCCTAAAGGTGAAAAAGACACCCAAGTTCCGAGCACAATTTGAGTTGTCACTTACATTTTGCGTGTGCCAAGAAGCGTCCTGCCTTGTTTTTGCTGCGGACGGGTGTTAGGAGCAGGGTGTCGGGGTTCATGGGGAATTGTAGGGTATCCTTAGGATGCGGGCGCTGTCGATCTTGAGAACATGGGCCCAGGGGGGCATGGCAGTAGTCTAGGCAATTTTAACTCCCATTACCTCTGTAAGTTCCTTTCAAACCATGCTGCGGATGCAAGATGATCCTGGCGAGATGCCCGAAGCTCATGACCCCCCCCCCCCCCTTCCTGCAAACCTTGAAGCAACTTAAGACAATTGCCCTATGACCAACACCTGCTAATGGCTCTATAATCCTTATTCTGTCTAAACCATGCACCTTTAGCTGAAAAGAGGCTATGGAGCAGATCTTCCCCATGATGATGTAGAACCAGGCCAAGCGGTCATCTAGCTCTCCACTGAAGTATTCGGCCACAAGGGCTTTCAGCTAATGCTGCCGTGTCACGGAGAATGCGAAGCCGGGCAACTAGGGGAGTGCGAGTGCCGCTTTCCCCCCTGCTACCAAATTCCCGAGCCTACGTGTAAAGGCTGTGTCATGATTTCTTGAATCCTAAAATTGCACCCTGTCCAAGCAGATCCGTAAAATTCCGAATCCCAAATTTCTCAGAGCCTGGGGCATGCCCGGCCCACGTTGAGCCGATGGTCCATCAAGATGGAGAGCTTTTGCAAGCCCGAAAAACCTTGACTCAAGAGGCCGAAGGGGTTTCAGCGGTTCAGGATGTTCCTGAAATCTTTCGAAAGCAGTCTGAGCAAAGCCTGAGGAAAGCCCTTCCTGCTGGTGCCACTGCAACTTGTGATCCCGAAGAAGAACTGTGGATTCAGCACCCATGAAGTCTGCATCCGCGTCGGTCAGGAGGCCCGATCACGCCAAGCAGCGACGACCCGAAAAAAAAAGTGCGCTTCCTTGCCCTTGCATTCCAGTGACGAAAGCCGAACAGTACAAAGTAACGCAACGTCTGCACCCCGAAGCTTCAGCCCGACATGTAGTGTCTGTTTGTTCCTTGTTGGAGGATCCTGAGTACAGGGGTTAGAGCCGGGTAGGGTCCAGAACAACTGTTGCTCAAACCTTGGATGCCTTGCTGCAAGGTTCTTTGGGAATTCGTCGGTAGACGTGGGGTAGACTGCAAGTGTCGGCCAGCTCTGAGAATGTAGGAACCCTCCCCAAACCCTCCAAGACCAGCTTGACGACTACCTTGACGCTACCTATGCCCCAAGTTGCCCCAAGTCGTCCCCCTTTAGACAGGACGTGGCGGACACCGTGGAGGAGGTGCTGGAGCAACACGCTGAGGTGGGCTTAAAGCCCTGGAAAACCCTGAGCCTTGCCTTTGTCTCTCTAAACCCACAGCCTAAGGAGGAAGAGCAATCGCGCCCAAATCCCTCACATTGATCTGCGGCGAAACCTACAGCGCAGCAACCCGAGTCCCCAAAGTTGGGCTCATAGGATAGGGGATGGTTTAACAACCAAAACCCTCCCACAGTCCCCGGTACTCCAAACACATGAGTTTTGTGACGCAGATGTTTCCTGGAATCGGAGGTTTTCATCCTCAATCAGGCTCAGAGCAACTTCCAGCAAACCACGGACAGGTGTCGCGCCGGCTCTATGCGGACGGACTGCGTGCAGGGCCGAGGTTCAGACGGCCAGATTGTGAGCTTTGAGTTCCCGAAGCCCTCGACTCGTTACGCATCCCTTCAAGAAAGCACAAGATACAAGACCTCAAAGACCTCAAAGGCCACACCCTCTCTGAAGATGCTTCATATTCTGAAGTGCCGAGGCCTGATGAGGCATTGGCACACCGCTCGCAAAGGCAGGACTGAAGCAGTACTGAGGTAGGGCCAGGTGCAGGGCTTCTGGAATAATTTGAGCTTGCGGTTTTTTTAAGCGGAGTTTGTTCTGGAGCTTCGGGACTGTCAGGGCTTGAGCTGCCCAGGTGCCGAACAAGAGTTGAACTTAAGATGGTAATTATGAGAAATTATGATGGTTGGGATATGGAGTCACGCACTCGCGCGTGTCAGTCCGAGTGCATTCTGCGTTGGATTAACATCTTGCGTCCGAAAGACCTGTCTGTCGAACTGCAAGGCACCTCAAAGCCCACAAATCAGGCCACGAGGTCGCCGAGGAAAGGTACATCCAGGCCTGCAGAAGGACTTTGAGATGTCTGAGTGTTATCAAGTTATTAAATGGCACTGCAGAGAACGTTGAAAGTCGTGGCGAAGTTGATGTCGAGCGCATTCACGGCTTCGGAGCTTGGCGAACGCACCCCATGGTCGGCAAGCCTCTGCTTCAGAAGTTGAACACCAGCCCCCTGTGGCCCCCCAAGTGAGGAGTCCCGAATCTTTGCCATGAACCCCTAAAGGTGCTCCCAAAGCTTTCGAGCAGCTTGGCGAGGCTTGCCGCGCTGCCGAGCTCCAGGCCGTCCAGCTGCTTGGATAAGGAAAAGACTCTGCAGTCCACCGCCCCCCCCATTTTTGTCGGGGTTCCATGCCATGGGGAACCCTCATGGGGGGGGCCTTTTTCACATGGACCTTCCATAATTTGGCTTTGGGAGCTGTTGGGAATTCAGTCTGCGGTTGTTGTATGGTGTCCTATACTATAGCTTGTGCCATCGCATGACCTCAAGACTCAAGAGCCCAGGTGCGCAGCTCTGTCGGCTTTGAAGCCAGCCGAGTGGCGGCACGGCAGCACCAGACGTACCATCCAGCGAAAAAGCTGTTGAGAGCCAAACTTGATAAACGTGGTCGAGCCGCGCTCGAAAGCCCCCCCCCCCCCCCAGCACATTTTGTGGCGGCCAGCAGTTCAGGCAGTAGACAACTGTGTTGGCTCTTTGGGGACCCCGCCAGCTTTCGTACAGCTTGTCACTCTTCAGGCGTGTGTTTCAGGCACGCTAAGGATGCTATACGGATACACTTCCCCCAGCCAAAGCCAAATGGAGCGATTGCAGAGGAAGCACTCGGCGGAGAACACGATCCACACTTCCCGCCAGGCAATGCCTCATCGGGCTTGGGAGTTTCGGTCTTGACGGCGCTGCGGGCCGAGCAGATACTGCTTAGCTTAAGGTTTAGTTGGGTTCGAGGGCCTCAGGAGGCATGGCATCGACAAGAGCGCACGGTCCCTCCGATTATGCCAATGCATCGCTTCTCTCTTTTTGATGCTGGCTCGAAAGTTCAACAAATAAAGAACGTTCATTAGACGAGAAGGTTTCCCGCGCCAGCCTTTGACGCTTCTTTCACTTTGTCCCCTCCTGAAGATCGTTGGGGTTAAGGCTTAAGGCATCACGGCTTCCTGATGCTTCCTGCCATAAAGCCGTACATCAATTGCACTTTCTCAAAGTTAGAACCCCCCGATTGGAGCCCACGACATCGCAGAAGAGTGTCATAAGGAAGCAACACCGAGTCCAGTCCACATGCCGCAGCATGCGCTCACTTGTCCTTGATTGTAGTCAATGTCGACCCATCTTGCTAGCAGCTTTTTGTTCTGTGTACGTGGAAGCATATGAAGGCCCAGTAGTGGAACACGCATGACAAGTCCTTGAAGCGTGATAGCGTGATTCTCCCACCAACTTAAATGACGTTTGTGACTTTCTCGTTGTTTTACTTTCTCGTTGTTTTCTACAGCACTAGCCCTCCAACCGCTAGGGCACATCGTTATGAACCCCGCCCCCCTCCCCACCCCCCCCCCCGCCCCCAATTCCACAAGCCACAGCCCAAATTTGGACGAGCATTGCACAAAGATAACACATTCGGGAGAGTGCAACGGTCATCAGGCACCTTTTCAGGGCCAGTTGCAAGCTTTTCGCGCTAAATGGCGAATCTTGAGACTCGAAGGAGTCGATGAGTTACACCCGAAGAGCGTATACTTTATCAACGCGCCTTTGTGATTCTTCGATTCGAACATCTCCCAGACGTTGTCCTGCCCTTTGGTCAGCAGGCAGTTGCTGCCGAGAAAGAATTCCAAAAGGTGGCGCTTGATGTTGAGTTTGGAGCGTTGTGTTCTTTGGGTTGGAGCGAGGTTGCCTAGTAGCTGGGATACATGAAAGCTGTGCAGAAGTGCTGATGCTCCACGGGGCTCTTGCTATTCGGGCGTCGCAGAAGGGGCGCTAGCGACACAGAAAGGTGTTCTGTAAGCGTGCTCTTGCAGCTGGTCCACATTCTGCACATCAGGTCTGTTTTTTATTAATTGTGGGCCCTGGTGCGCAGCGGCACTTGCCATTAGGAGTTTACTTTCGAAGACTTGGAAGGCCCTTCTGCCTGACACCACCCCATCAATGAAGTGGAGGCGCTGTCCAGAAATCGTCCTCGTCCGTACCCGTTACAAGCGGTAGCTTCAAGCCACAGACTCCTGAAACAGGCCCTTCACCCTACTGGATTTTGAGCAGCGTCTGAAAACGACATTATAGTGCTCGTTGAAAGATTCGTTGAAGGTGCCTGCGGGAAGGGTGAGAGTCCTGGTTGAAAGCCTCTTGTAAGTGGAACTTGTGGGTGGAAACCTCCAAATCTTGCTCACGTCGAATGCGTGGGATTTCACATTCTGCGGGCCATGGATCCGTTAAACCACCTAACCAGCTAAGTATTTAAATCAAAACCAGATCGAAGCCTGAAAAGTCGTGAACTCTGGACCCTACAGTCCCTAAAGTCCACCATGTAGGACCTTGCTTAGCGTGTAGAGCCGAGGGTCATCGCTGGGTTTGGGGCGGGTTTTGGGTAAGCGTGGGCCTGTCAGAGGCTCCCTTGATTGGGGGGAAGAGCTCTCACACGAAGAGTTTGGGGCCATTTCCGAGATCCCGCATCCCTCATATTCCCTGACAGACGTTGCACAAGTTCAACGCGTCAGTCGAGCTTCAGGAGAACGGAAAGCCTACAGAAGCAGATTTCATGGAGATCCTTTGAGTCACATCCCTGTTTTGGCATCCTTCTGAAATGTGTACAAAGTTGCTCTGAGGTATGGCTCTATAAAACAAGTTCATAAGCTTGTGCTCTTGAACATTCGTCACACTCAGCTGAAAGGATCTTGCCGCAGTCTATTCACCGAGCGACCAAAGGGGGGACTATCGTGATTTTTGTGTGTCCGCCCTTACCGAAATGGCCCCAACCTTCTTCCAAGAGGCCAGCCAAACCCCAACAACTGCCGCCAGGAGAAGCAGATGAGCGTAGTTCTGGATGCAGCGCAGGTGGTGCCTCTTTGTACACGTGCATAAACGCGAACCCCAATCACTCAGGTCAGGCCCAAGTTGAAGGCACATCCAAAAATACCCTGGTCCGGTGGTGGAACTAGCATAGCAACATGTTGGTGGGCTTGGGGACTTCAGGACTGCGGGCTCTATTTGAAGGTTCAGGAGACTTTGTTAGCAACATGGCTGTCGCTGTTTAGCTC